TTTTACATTCTTTATTCTCATACTGAGCATTCAAAATTTTAGTGTCTATTTTATATTTATAGCACATCTCAGTTCAGACTAGATACATTTTTAAGAACTCAAAGAGCCACATGTAGCTAGTGGCTAGTGGCAGCCTAGACAAGTACTCACTAAATTCCCTTTTCCATGAATATTAAAGCTAATGGCTCCCCAGAATTGAAGCTTCTTGCATTCTCATTGGCTGTGCCCAAGAAGCTATATTCTGGCACCCTCTACTGTTAGTACTGGAGACACAGCCCTAGGTACCATAAACCGCAAGTGAATATAACTAACTGATTAAGAGAATATACATATATTTGCAATGTGGGCAGGTACAAAATTATCAGCCTTGGTGGAGAAAAGGCTATGTTCCCCTAGTGCCAATTCAACTGTCCATCCACCCATTCAACATTGTGCCAGAATTAATTCTATATGCTAGTATCCTGCCCTGAGAGAACTTACAGTCTTTTGGGGGAGAGATTGATAGATACGAATAATTAAATAAGAAATAAACAAGTTCATTTCAAATAGCAATTTTGCTATGAAAAAAATAAAATAGGAAAATATGATCATGAATGAGAGATTTACTTTAGACAGGGCAGAGGAAGCTTCTCCGAGGTGGCATCTAAGCTGAGAATGAAATAACTGGGCCAAGAGTGGAGCATAATGTTTTATGCAGAAAATACAGTTAGGGCAAAGACCTAAGCAGGAAAAAGCTTAGTATATTTGCAAAACAGAGAGGATGCTACAGTGGAAAAAAAAATCAGTGATGGGTTCTAAGGGGTTGGGAGGATGGGAGTTGATCATCTGATTTACATTTTAAAAAACTCCTTGCATGTGTGTGGAAATGGTCAAAATCCCTGAGGGTGGGGAGGTGCTAAGAGTAGAAGTGGGGAGACTAGTTGAAAGGCTGCCATAGCCAAGATGATAGTTGTGGCTTGGAGTAGACTGGGTGTGGAGAAAGTAATAAGAAATCAGATTTACAGTATATTTTAAGTTTATCAGCAAGTCCTGTTCGCTCTACTTTCAAAATTAGATTTTGAGCCTGACAGTACTTGCTGATGAATTGGATATGGGATGAAAAAAAGAAACTATGGCCAATTATTAGTCTTTTGGCTTGAGCATATAGGTGAAATGGTGGTGGCATTTATTGAGATGGGGAACTGAAACATGAACAAAGCCTGCTCCTCCTCCTACATTTCAAATACTGATAAATGGAACCACCATCCAGTCAGAAACCTGAGTTTTATCGAAGGCTCTACCTTATCCAGTCACCAAATCCATTAATTCTACCTCCCCGAAGTTTCTCAAATCTGTCTGTTCTTCTCCACCCCTACTGACTTGGACAATTTTTTAGACCAAATACTCACCAAGGGCATTTTAGGCCTTAATCATCCGCAGGTTTAAACTCCAACCTAAAGTCAATACTACAATTTGTTCTTGTGATTAAAATTCTCCAACAATATTTTTGATATTTTGGCAATATCTACCAAAGTTTAAAATGGACGTGTCCTTTGGATGGCTCTCTTATAATTCTATCCTAGAGAAATACTCAGAGAATGAAAATATGAGGGTAATTCATGATAGCATTTTAACAGTGAAAACCTGGACACTTACCTAAATGCCATTCAATAAGGAAATTGTTACACAAACCACTATACAACTTTATTGTAAAATTCTACCTGCTCCTTATTTCAAAAATTGAAGCAGATTTAAATATATTGAGATATGGAAAAATTTTCATCTTTTTTAAAAGATACTTTAAAAGCAAACGGCGATGTTTATACGATTGCCATTTATTCAAAAAGCATTTCAATATATCTGTGGGCATGTGTGTATTGTTTTAAAGGCCAAGAAAAGGCCTGGGATGACACACATTAAACTATTGCCAACAGTTATGTTGGGGTAGCAAGATGGCGATGGGCTGGGTGGGGAGTTCCATTTTTTACTATGTATGTATCTTACTGGATGAAATTTTCAAAAATTAACATATTCATATAACAACCACCACCAAAATAACTCTATGACCATCTTGTATGCCTTAATACGATTCAGGGCACTTTAGGATCTGGCACCAGCCTTCTTTCCAGACTAATTTCTCAGACTTACTTAAGTTAGGTAGACAACAATGTTCTTTTATGTGACAGGAAATGTGGGTCGATTGTTGAAACTGGGTCACATACTAGGCATATCAGCTTTGCAACTGAAATAGGAAAGGTAGCCTCTGGTGCTTAGAAGGATGTGAAGCTCTTTCTCAAGAGAACCTGAGGTACTTGTACTTGTTCATTCCTCTGAGGGAACACCAGAATCAGTTCATTCCTTTAGCTCTTAAAAGGCGTAACATATGACTCTTT